GGTCCTTTTGGTGGCGTTCCTTCGTTGCTGAGCTCATTCCCCACGCAAGCCCTCTCGGTGAAAAAAAAACACACACCTTCACCTGCACTGGGCACAAGGCAGCCCCTTCTCCAGGTGTTTTTTAGGTAAATAACAGAAGGGAAACTACTACTGACAAAAGGTGAAATATTTGTAACAAAGGAAAAGAAAATAGGTAGGATAGGCAAAGAACAGTTATCGCTTCTAAGTGAAGGCAGATACAGATCTTTGACTCGTATTCTAGAGACAGAGCTGCTAGTTGTTAGGTAAGTTATTAACAAAAATATACTACAATAAATAAATACTAAGTTAATAGAGCTGCACCCTAATTTGGCTAATCTGGCAGATGCCATCTCTGCCACTAATTAGCACAGCCTGTGCCAACACTCTTGCCTGTACACCTACCTGGAGGATCAGGAACCCCACCACCCAGGCTAGGCCCAGAGGTCTCATAATGCCTCCCAACACTTCAGTCTCCACTGAGATCCCTCAGCTGTAGAAGGAAGGTAACTATTATCACAAAGAAGATAATATAGTTTATTGGAAGCTTAAAAATACTCAAAATACATTATATACACAGTGGCACATAGTGCCAATGCTCTGCTTGAGCCTGCAGGGGAGTTAGAAGTTTTTAATCAGAGGTTCGCCTAGATTCCAGATGATAGAAGAGTCCAGCAGTTTCAAGGTGCTTATCTTGCTGTTTTTCCTGCTGGCATATTTCTTCTTGATTGCCTGTAGAGATACAAGTTTGATTAAGTTCACCTTGTTTGTAAACTTACACTATTCCAGCTCAGCTGAGGCTTGGTGGTCAAGCTAAGCCCATCCTAGCACACAAGACCAGTTCATGGCTCTCTCATGCCACTTTGGCAAGATAGACATCTTCAGCTGAAGTAAGCAGGTCTTATCCAAGTCAGACAGCAGTGGCTCAGCTAAGCCAGCCTCAGAACACCACATATTGACACTTCACCCTGCATATTGCCCACCTGCACTGCAAGACTCTTACCAAGTGTTTGGTCATGCCCTCATTCACAAGAATTACGTTCTTTGCTATGTGCTGCATAACTGGGAGAAGGTCACCTTGTAGGTAAGACGTGTAGTGCTGTAGAGTTGGTGTCTGAAAGGAAGGGAAATCATTAGACAAGATAACAACCCAAGTACACTGGGTTCTTTGCCTTCTGTTGGGCTCAAGCAATTGCAGTCTCCTGTCTGACAGGGGAGGGTTAGCAGTTACTACCCTACTGCTATCTCCTTGTAATGGGCCACAGGGAGACAAGAACATGCTGAGATACCACAAAGGAAGCAGGAGACACACAGTTGGTCTTTTAAGCAGGTGCACAGGCACAGAGTCCCAAACTAGAAGATGGTCTGACAAGCATGACTTACCCATTCCCATCCATTGAGGAGTTTCAGAGCCAAACAGGAAGCAGCTGCTGCAGTTTTGGATGGAGGGAAGTGAACCATGTCATAGTCCACAATGGACAGCTCCATCAGGTACTTGGCCAGAACATGTTCTTCCAAGTCCGCCTGCAGGAAGTCAGATTTGAGTATTGGCTATCCCCAAGGCAAGCCTTTGTTCAGTCAAGCAGGAAAAATAGTTCCTTAGTGAACATTTTCAGAGCTATAGGCTTGAAATTCAAGTAGCATAATCACAGAGCATTTCTGAGCTGTGTTAGGCTGCTCATAGTCTAGGACCACCCCTTTCAATAGCAGTCTAGCAGTCATCTGCAGTACCAGGCAGACATTTTAACTCTGGTTCTGGGCAAGTTAGGCTCATGTGACTGAATGCAGACAAACAAGACCTAGTTCTACATGGAGACATGCCTCAACCAGGTTCAGTTGCTAAATGTTGCAGTACTGAAAAGTTTTGAACAATTTTAACAAGCTACCACAGTCAAATATTGCATTTTCCAGATGCTGCTCACAGTAAGACCTGTTCTCAGCATTACCTCCGCAATCTTTGAAGCCCTCCTTAGGAATTGAGATGGGAGAGGGCGACTCAGACTAAAGTCCAGGGCTTTCAGGATCTTCACCTCCATCTCACGAATTTGGACTGTTGTGTAAGTGTGATCCGTTACATAGGCAAAGTCTCCAATAAATGGGGGAAATATCTCTTCATATTTGCTGGCAATGAATATAGCTGTGACACCAACCAGCTGCAACGTCTTCGTGGAAGCAGCATTGTCCTGTAGTAAGAAGCAGTAGAGATTAATCTAAATGAATGACTTAGCTCAGAACACAGCTTTTCAAGGTAGTCAATGTAAGGTTTGTTCTGTAGCAGGATGTTCATACCAGCATATACAGAATAACTGTACGTCATCTGTTACCTCTGTTGGCATCTGCAGGGGTATTAGAAGGCTTTGAGATCAAATCAGGGAGAGAAGTAAGCAGTTTTGATATATTGAGTCACTGTTCGTAGCTGAGAGGATTACGTTGTGCATACAATTCAACATCAAATGTCCATTGTGAGTCAACTGTATTTTGTTAAGGGTAACATGTCTAAACATGTATGGTGTTACTGATCAGTGCTTATTGTGCTTTAGCTTAGGCGAAGAGCATTGCCTGACACTAGACGAGAGACACTGACCTGCAGGAAGCGATCGATGATAGCAACTGCCAGGTACAAGGTATCCTGCTGGAGGCTGAATTTTACTTGTACTTGCACAAGCCAGTCTATTAGTATAGCACGCATTTTCCCATTGATTTCCTGGCTGGCCAGGTATCTGGGTCTGATAGGTTGATTTTCCTGTGTGAAGAAATAGGGTTAGTAGATCTAGTCACTTAGCTGAAGCATTTGCAATGCCTAGCCTCTGTTGCATCTTAAGGCTTATCAAGAAGTTCAGTACAGGCATAGCCCATAGGTGTAGGCCACAGGGCACAAGGTTTCTTTGTTTACTAGAGATGGGCTAGAAAGAGCATGGTACTAGTACTACTAGTTGATTGGTCTAACAACCAGCATCTGTTTATGTTTTCAGCCCAGTTTAATTATTTTAAGTTGTGAGATCACTTATTAATCCCTCAAGAAAATCCACAGGTGAAAGCGAATACCAGCTCCAAGCCATGCCTATAATGACAGGTTCACTGTGTCAGCAGATACCCCTTGCGGTTACGTCCTACTCCTACCAACCTCAAGGTCTCTCAGATACTTGTAGATGTCATTCGCATAGTTGCTGCAGAGGTATAGGTCATCATGATCTTCCGCATCTACGTCTTCCATGTCAAGCAACACATGAGAAAAAGCCTGACACAGCACATCCTCTGATGGAGCACATCCAGATATCTCCATGGGTGTTGGGGACTGAGGCTCCAACTAAAGGAAATTTGGGATCAGTGCGGGCAGCACCTCCCTCCGCAGCCCAGTGCGGGCCAAGCAAAGGCTCCCATGGGACGAACCGCAC